AATATTGTATCTATAACTGACAGAGCAAAGTAAAGAACTGAAAGAATTTGAAGGGAGGAAATTTTATCATTTTATCTGAATGTGACAGTAAATTTTAAGGTCTGTTTTTCTCTTTAAAAAAATAAGAATACCTAAAATACATAGCGTGCTTTATAGTTTAATGTTTTCCATGTAAATACTTATTGTTGTTCCTCAGAATACCTATAAGGTAAACATGTGAGTATTATTATTCCCATTATACAAATGAGGAAACACTTGGATTTCAATCTGTTATCACGAAGTCCATTTTTTTCTCTGTAAGAGGAATTAGATGAGTATTGTAGCACACTCAATGTGCTTGTTTGCTAACTGTTCCCCACCCACCTGTAAGTCCCATGTGGTCAGAGACGCCTGTCTTGTCTGTGCTAGTTCTAGAACCCAAGACAGTGCTGCCATATTGTAAGGGCTAAACAAATGCTTGTTCTGTGAATGAAGTTTGTAGTCTCTGGAGTGGAAGGCTGAGAAGGAAAGCTAGTTATAGTGGCTTAGGGTAATGAGTGTGAAAAGACACTGGGGATGTTGTTAAAAGGACGATTCTGATTCTCTAGGTCTAAGGGAGGGCAGGCAGGGGTGCTGAGATCTGCATTTCTAACTGACCTCATGCCTTGAAACTCCAAGTATGCTCCAGGCCAGCCTCAGTGGCATCACCAGGAAGCCGTTCTCCACCCTCACAGGAGACTCCAGTCAGAGCCACTCCTCCGCTGGGATGGTAGTGAACGCTCTGCAAGACAGTTGTGTATTGGCGTTCCCTGGCTGCACACCCTCTGAGGGCTGCCCCAAGGCTTCTGGATGGGTGGTCGGCAGGATCACCTGCAGAGCTTTGTCAAAACCCTTGCCCACCCTCCTAAATGCTGGGGTCAGTGAGTGGGCGAAGCTGGGCTTGGGGATTTTTAAGAGATCTCCGACTGCTTTAGGAAAAGGGGAATCATGCTTAGAACCACTGACTGCATCCACGCTGGGGTCCTGGGAAGGCTGCTTCTGGACAAACTCAGAGATAGACTAAATCTTGAAGCTGTCTTTCGGTATTCTTGTACTTTCTGTGCCCTCTCTTCTGTATTTTACCCTATCACACAATTCTACTACTTCTAATAATGCTTGTGACATCCATCATTTCTGTTAGCTAGAAATGAGTTTGGCATTTCTGCACATTCCCCAGGGACATTTGGGTTTAAGTCATCTCTATGAACTAAGAATCCATCTTCTATTCAAATAGCAGGACACATGACCAGCATCATCACTTGAGATTCAAAAATTCTTCTCTACCTATGTGGAAACCACACCACCCCCACACCCTCAAAACCCCAAACCCTCCTTCCCCAACCCTCACCCTAGCCCTTTACTTTCAACCTGGGCTTTCTTGGATTTAAGACGGACTATTGAAGTTTTGTCTATTTCCATTTATTTATGGAGACAAACTACTGTGAGGTATTCATAATTAATTATCTGCAGTTAACACTAATCGTATTTTTGATTCTGTGAAGAACTGAATTCTACTTTTAAGAAAACATTTTGTTTACTCTTGATATGATTAATGTTAACAAAATGATGTCACTCTGCAAACTGTTGCCTTTTCTAGTATGTTAGTTTAAAGTGTATACAGTCATATGGATGAGGAAACCCCACTTCCGGTTGCCTCTACCTAACAGCAGGTGCTTTATGATGGACAGTTAGAGCTTGAGAGCTAGTAGTGAAATGTGTGCAGTGCCATCTAGTGGTATATCATCATTCTAGCATACCTAGATGTCCTCACTTTCTAAAATGCTCAACAGAAAGCAACATATTTATACAACTGTCAGACTTTAAAACAGACCCTTTACTAACTGCCTAATGACTCTTGACTTAGCACATTTGTTCCTCCTCAACTCAGCAGAAGAGTTGTGATACTTACCTTTCTCAATGATAATTAGTAGATATTGAACTATGCTTATTGTGCATGAAATACTGTATAAAATGCTTTTCTTGTACTTCTGGACCCTTCACAGCCATTACCTAATCCAGCAAGTCACAGAATTTCCAGTTACCTGTTTGTGTGACTGTGACTCATCTCTGTGTCCCCTTCAGACTCGGTCCCCAGAGGCAGGAGCCACATCTGCATTGTTTGCCATTGAGTCCCTAGGCCCTACTTGGGGCCTGGCACATAACTGTGAAGCCTCATTTTACTTTCATGTATAATTATCTGGTCTAACAGCCATAATTACTGTTTCCTTTCTCCTTATATGGAGACTTTAAATGTGAAAGCCCAAATATATTATAGATCATACTTATTTTTAGTAACATTCACATGATTTCTAGATATTTTATGTGTCCATATTATTATTTCCTAGGTTACATGCCCTATCCAAACAATTTGTAAGCATCACCCCATTTATTTTCCCCCCCCCAATTTATTCTATATCGTAACCATCTGAAGGTAGATGCTTTTGCCATCCCCACTTTGCCAAGATGAAGACTCAGAAAAGTCAAGTAACATAAAACATGATTTACCTGGGATGCAAACCAAGGCTTTTGTGATTCTGTGTGACTATATCGTATTGCCTCTTTAGCAGTCACATGCACATTCACGGTTGAGTCATTACCTTGTCATGTGTTTACTTAGCTAATAGATAGGTATTAAGCTCCTGTGGTGTGTGAGGCTGGGGGCAGATGGAGTCTCCTCCTGTGCAACATGCAGTTGCAGATGACAGACAGACAACCAGCTGGCCTGCACAGAGTCCACTAAATAATGGGGAGAACAGGGTCCCAAGGTGGCACGCAGGAGGGTGCAAAACCTAGAGGTGAGAGATCCAGTCAAGCATCCTTGAAGAAGTGGTGTTGACACTCAGACATAGATGAGACATAGATGAGAAGAAAGTGGGGCCAGGTCTGAAAGAACTTCACAACCCATGTTGAAGAGTTTCAATTTAATGGGAAGTTATTAAAGGAGTTGACACAACATACAAATGACAGGTCAGATATGCAGTTCAGAAATGCCACCCTGGCTACAGTGTTTAGAATGAATTGGAGTGGACAGAGAATGAAGATGAAGGAATTGACTTTGTCAGTGAGATCATGGTGATAACATTGGGTGGTGGGAATAAAAGCCTGTGGAAATGGAGGGCAGTCATTGATTGCATACGAGATATGAGGATCCAGGAATGAAATCCAGATTCTAGCTGGGGTGGGGGAAGAACATAGGGGCTGAAGCCATTCATCAAGGGAGGGAACCCCAGAGAAAGTGGGCTTGGCAGAGAGGAGATTAGTGTAGGCTGGGCACCCAAAGGCTGAAGTTCCTGAGGGACGCCCCCCCCCCACTGTCTATGGATGTGCTGGCTGCTTCCATGGACTCCTATGATTCCACCCCTGGGAATCCTGGGAGCCTCTCTGTGTCCTACAAAGAATCTCCAGGAGAAACATAAGCATCCAGATGCCCTCCATCTCCCAGCAGCCATTTCTCCTTCTTGGCCTGTAGTCATCTCCCTCCATTCATGTGCCTCTTCTCCAGTGCCTGTTTCACACAACCCATAGTCAGGAAAAAGATAGTAACCTATTTCCCTTGGTGGCCTGAGTACAGATACCAATCAGGACACAGACCAGGTCCCCTCATCACTGCTCTTCTTGTGTCCTGAACCTACACATCTCCCTAAGGACTGGATCCAGAGGCTCTATAGATCAAATAAGTAGGGAATAGTGGTAGAAATCCCAGCTTTTTTTTTTTCCCTCAAAAAATAAATAAATTCAACTTATAAATGCTATTATTTTTTTAGTGCCTTGCTTGTTAAAGTGAAAATTTTTACAAATAACATCAAAAAATACAAATAATTTCCTTGTGTAATATACAGAGAATTTTGTAAATTTAAAAACCCATAAATCTGAATTTATCCAAACTTAACATTAAAGTAATTCATTTGAAAAGTAATTTGTGTTCCTGTGTCAGAATTCAGAGATCTGCAGTGGGGGAAATTTTATATGAACTTATTTTATTCATTTGTTCATGTATAATGTATTGTGTCTGTGTACTATTTAAAGGAACACAATATCCACTTATGCATTTCCCATTTAAAGGAACACAATACCCACTTCATAAATTAGGAAGTGAGGCTGTGAGTCTTCAAAGCTAAGAGTGTAAACACTTGTAGAAGAGCCAAATTTGCACCTAGGTCTTCGGACTCCAAGTCTATTACTCTGGACTCCAAGTCGAGGAGCTCAATAGATGTCAGTTTTGTGTCTTTAATTAGCAAAGTGTCAGAAATTAGCAAAGCTGTAGGAGACTAAAACTTGGTAATGTACATTTCTCAGGAACTGGAACTATACTTCCTTGAGAAAGACAACGTTTATTTTCAAATGCAAAGTGTAACGAAAAGTGAATCCAGAAAGTGGTGAAATTGTGGTGAAACTGGAACTCTCATACATTCTTAATGGGAATGTAAGATAGTGCAACTACTTTGAAAAACACTTTGGGAGATTTTCAAAAATTAAACATACACCTACTATACAGCATAGCCATTCATTTCTAAGTACTTACCAAGAGTACTGGGAGCTTGTGTCTGTACAAAGGTTTGTACGTGATTGTGCATATCAACTTTATTCTTTATCACCAAAAACCAGAACAACCCAAAAGTCCATCAGCAGGTGAGTTGACAACCAAATTGTGATATATCCCTCCAATAGAATACTATTCGGCAACAAAAAGGAACAAACTACTAATGCAACCGGCATCATGGATGATTCTCAAAATGGTTACACTAGTACAAGTATCCAGACTACCCCCAAAAAAACAACAACAACAAGAGTACACAATGGATGATTTCAGATATATAGAATTCTAGAAAATCATGTCAGAAAGCAGATCTGTGGCTTGGGACAGATTTCAAAAGAGACTTTTGGGGATGATGGATGTATTACCTTGATTGTGGTGATGGTTTCTGGGATGTCATAACAAGACTTCAGGGCTGACAAATTCCCTTTCCTTTACCTGTGCGCAGTGCACCTGGTGGACATCTGGAACGTCATAGAAGCTCTGCGGGAAAATGCGCTCAACAATCTGGACCCCAACACGGAACTCAGCGTGTCTCGCCTGGAGGCTGTGCTCTCCACCATTTTTTACCAGCTCAACAAGCGGATGCCCACCACCCACCAGATCCACGTGGAGCAGTCCATCGGCCTCCTGCTCAACTTCTTGCTGGCGGCCTTTGACCCGTGAGTGCCTTCCGAATGGCAGTTGCGTTTTACCTGTTCCTCTTGTGCCTTCTTGGTCTTTATTGCAAATAATGTTTTCGAGTAACCAACCTACGGCCTATTTTGTCTTGATCAGATACTCATTTCAATCAAGTTTCTCTGTGTTTAACCTAAATGTTAGCTGCTGTGGAAAAGGCTAGAGAGTAAAACCGGAAATTGAGTACAATTGTATTTTATCTCCTGACCTGTATTTAACTCATCCCAGGCTTTCTAGAAGCTTTGGACGCTTGAAAGTGTGTAATGGCGTGCCTGGGAAGCGATTTAATGAAGCATGCAGAGGGAGGGTGTTTTTCACTCTCTTCTTTGCAAATTGCCCAGGACAGTGTTTCTGAGGGGAAGTGACCAGGCCTTGGAGCAAACAGTGAGAGGTTGAAAGGGGTGTCTGGGCCAGCCCAGGGAGAATAGCTATGACCTGCCTTCCATGGTCTGGCCGAGGACAGGCCACATAAAGCAGAGTGAAGCTATCCACGCACCACGACTGAAACCTGGCCTCATTATCTCATCATTTCCCCTCATGTAATCAGAGACTTCAGAGCCGCCTGAGATCTTACAGACAGCGCTTACAAATCTCCCTTTTTACGGGTAAAGGAGCTGAAGCACTGTCATTGTCCGGTCCTCAGCGTGGCAGTGGCAGGGGCAGGGCGGGTGCTTAGGTATTCAATGGCAGTGCTTTCTCCGAGGCGTAGTGGCAGCCTTGTGAGATATAAAAAAAACCCTGAATTACATGATCAGCCTGTAATTTCAAAGGGGTTCTTGTGAAAAGCCTCTGGCCTAGAGATCGTATCAACGCCTCCACGTTTGCTACTGGCTTTGACTATTAAAAAGGGAAATTACTAACTTGACCTTTCGGCAGTCACACTGTAAGGCTCTCGGAAGAGTTTCAGCCTCAGTCTCATTGTCTGGCCCATGCCCAGGAATAGGTAAGGCGGGCACAGGGGACGATCCAGCCAGGCTGCCATGGTTATGCTCCTGACTGACAAAAGTCCCCAGCTGTCCCTTTGCAACCCCATGTGCTAACAGAAGTGTTTGTGCTCAGTCTGACCAGGATGCATTGTTCTTTCCGAGATTCTTATGTTCTGAGAAATTCTCAAGTTGCAGTAAACAATTCTACAACCAGAAAGACTCTATGCACAGTCTGTACCGAACTCAGAGCTGATGTACTGCTCTGGGCTAATCACTATGGTAACAGAACAGGGCAGGTAGAGAGGCTGTGGTTCCACATGACAGGTGAAAGAAAGGAACCAGGCCATGGAAGTCCTAGAAGGAGCATTCCCATCCTGTCCCATTAGCAAGAGCAGGGCAGCTTTCAGGCTCACCAGTCGAGTCTTTAAGGGACTTATTTGTTATTAAAGGCCCTATGCACAAAGATTCATGCAAGAATGGGCCTTCCTTCCCCTGGCTGCTGCTGGCAGTGCCTTTGCTCTGGCCAGAGCCACCTTTTTGCCTTCCTACACTGCCAGAGGCCTGGAGCAGCTGGGGTAGTGCGTAACGCCTGTGTCCTGCCCTCCTTCAGGCCACTCAGTTCCTGTGTATACATCTTGGTTGGGTTAATTTGCATACTCATTCCTGATTGGCTGGTGGGCATCGCAAAGGTACGGCCAATTAGCATGTTAACTCTTTTATTAGGTAGATAAGTGTAACAATCTTGTAAATAAAGAGGGAATATGCTAATTGATCCTCACCTCATTGCAAAAATGGCAGCGTCCACAACCAATAAGTAAGGAATATGCTAATTGACTGCCAAACCCTAAAAGATGGTAGCACCTGTAGCCACAGAAGGTGGTGCCCAGTCCCCTTAGCACCACCAGGGCAGCAGGAGCACAGCAAGGCGGGCCCAGCCTTGCTGCATGCCTGCCTCCAGAGTCACTCAGCTCCCTCAGCCTCCCAGCCACCCAGAGTCAGCCTGAGGTTCAGGCAAGGCTCAGATGGCAGCTGCCCAGCCACCCAGGGCTGGCCGAGGCTTGTGCTGCGGCAGCAGCAGCGGAGGTGTGATGGGAGCATCGCCTTCCCCTGATTGCTGGTCACCTTCCATTCTTAAGGGCTCCTGGACTATGAGAGAGGGAAAGCCGGGCTGAGGGACCCCCCTCCAGTGCATAAATTTTCATGCACCAGGCCTCTAGAGGAAAATATAAACAGAGTAATATAATTTCCTGCTAATGCTTGGAGTATTACTGGATCATTCATAAAGAATCAAAGCTAAAAAATAACATGGGTCCACTCTATAAATATCAAAACAGGGGAAGATTAATAATAAGGAAGGGGGATTTAGTAAAATATATGGAACTTAAACTAATGGGGTTATATTTTTCACTTTTGTTTAAAAATATTGGGAAGATCATTTCAAAAAATAGAGCTGTAACTTTTTTTTTTTTTAATAACGATGATACTGTGGCTGAATTATTTCAAGAACGATGAACGCTACGCTTAAGGATTATCCCCAGGTCAGGCACAGTTCACACCAATGTTCAGAAGAAACTTTTGCTTGGTTCCTACTCTTCATGCAGATAGGAAAGCCCCTGATCTCATGGAAGATGGCTAAACATATCTACATGGAGAGGTCTCCTGGTAGAGACACATTCACATAGGGGCCCCAGGCTGAAGGTACTTCAGCCTTTGATCCTTGGGCAGAGCAGATGAGTATATGCCATTCTACTGATAATCAAATGTAAGACAATATGAGATGTAAGCTACCAGGAAGCACAGATATCTGAAAATTCAACTTACAAGTGAATTATAAGAAGAGAAACAAGAATAAAATGAATGTTGATTCTATTTCTTATCATTGTAAACTCCTGTTTATCCAAATGAGATCCAGTATGGAAATCTGATGTCACCTTCTAACCACCTATCCCGTGAGCCACACATGTGATTATAAAGGAGCCCCTGTATTTTGGTCATCATGAATGAGGCTGATACTAGAAGATCAAGGTTGTGCTGTTGCTATTATAGAATCACACATTTAAGAGATTTTCTTTTATTTGCTGTATTTAAATGAACAGATTAAGAAAAAAATACACATAAAATCCATAGTAAAAGTTAGAGATACCTTAAGTACCTGAATAAAAAAGGAAAGACATTATACTAATGTAAATTCATGAAAATAAGAACTTGGATTCACAGAAATGGGGTCATCATTTTCATGGTGCCTTAAAATTCACCAGACCTACCCAGTTGAACTCTGCCAAGAAAATGATCTGAAATGAGGAAAGGATCTCTTTGGAGTATTCTAAGGACTTTTACTATTGTTCTTTTTTAGAAAATTGAAAGTACAAAAGAAAAATAACATGGCAGAAAATTAGATAAAAATAATTATTATTTCAACAGCTTTTTTGAGGTATAATGGTTACCTTAAAACTAATTCTTAAAAGTGTGGCTTTTTTGAGTGGTAAGGTCTCAAGATCAGATACACAGTGAAGCCCTTCCCCCGTCGTGGCTGAGCTGCTCACACTTCCCCACCTCCCAGCTCCTTGCACGTGATTCTGCTCTTCTTTCAGCACATGTCTTACTGCTTGTCCGCCTGGCTCCCACAAGCTGCCTCAGAGTGGAACCAGGTCTTCTTTGTGCTCAGAGCACCTAGTATAATACGCAGCTCATAATGAATCGCCGGATGAATGAATGAATGAATGAATGAAAATCAAAGAATGACTTTTCTTAGCTCTTGTCACACCAATTTCATTGTTTTCTGAGTTTGAGTTCTCCTTGATCTCCGATATATTACCAAGACTACTGAGTCCAAGTTGGCTCTGTCACCAAGATTCACACCCTCTATTTTAACTTCTGTTCCACAAGAGAGGAAAATCAAACATTCACAGTCATTAACGCACATGGTCCTGTTTTTACAAAAGATTTCAATATATTTGTCTTGCTCTCTTCCTACTCCTGGGAAAGACTAACATCAATTTAGGGTGTTAACTTAATCTCATTTCAACTCAGGAGAATCTTTCTTGGCAGGTTAGTTCCTCATAAAGTAGTACTTATTATGGGACCATGGCCTTATTTTTAGCAAATATTGATTTCACATATATTCAGCCGCTCAAAACTCGTAGTAGGACAATGGTAAATATTAAAAGGAATGGTGATTTTTCTACTCTCAGTGGTCCAGATACATTTTTCAGGCCAATTCTCTAATGATGATAAAATAATCATTGTAATAATAGCTAAGATGCCCTCCTCATTTGCTGTGTCCCAACCATCTTACTGATCTGGCACTATATTATCATAATTCTCCAGAGTGAGTAAGTGATGAAGCTGAGACAAGAGGTTAAATAATTTACAGGTCACACAGCTGCATACTAGATGAGGTGAGTGGAGAGAAAAGTCAAAATCATTTTGTTTCAGGAAGCAGTTTAAGTTCATTTCTATTCATGCTTTCTGTTTCGTTTTTTAAAATGAGAATTAATGGACTTTTTCCCCGGGCTTCCCCTGCTTATTACAGGATATTATTATTACCCTCACATTTCTAGCCTTTTTCAGTGTGTGGTATTTAGACATGCTTGACAGAGTGTATGTGAAAGATATATTTGGACTTAACAAGTTACACATTGTAGATTTAGAGTCATTTTTATGACTGCCATCCAGAACTCAGATCCGTACTCTTATAGAGAATATAGAATACAAAATCCTGGTCTTTTCCCCTCTGTTGGACATATGGCACCACGCTGAGCTATTTGAACATCCATTCCCACTGCTGACCGCCCTGCCCCCAACCCCCGACATGATGAAAGGAACCACAACACTATTAAGATGGATGGATGTGAAATAATTTTGGAATTCTGCCAAAATCCTTCTGCCTTTTGAATTTTAAAAATTATTCTGATGTTTAATGCAAGATGTGTTACAGAGAACACAGCCATTTCTCTGTGCAAAAAACAAAACATGTTGTTCACTTTTGAGGCAAAGGAAAAAGAGAAGAGTCATATGAAACCAAATGTTTGTGTGTTTTTTATCCATTACCCATATGG